CGTTGCGTGTCGCTTCGCGTTGAATTTTCGTCGATGTTAAGCCTAACAAAGACTATTGTATCGTTAAAAATTATTTTTTTATTTTGTACAAACAAAATAAATATATTGAAAAATATAAAAACAATAAAAAATTATACTTCAGAAGTTAATTTAGTATCAAAAACGTAAAATATTTGAGTAGTCCAAGACGTAGCCAAAGATTGAAGCGCCACAGCACTGGCGAAAATTTAAATTTGCCGACTGGAATTCTTTCGGATGATTGACTTTCGGAAAATCGACGCTCTACTGTAATTCAATTTTTATATTTATATATAAAAAAATATCCTAGTTGTTTTATAAATATTGCAGTAAACGTTCGTTTTAATGACCTATTTGGTTCCTAGAAAACCATCACTGAGTGAACATTTTTGATAGAATAAGTTCGGTGAAATGGATCACGCTAAGCTCTTAGTATCATATTTTAAAGTTTTCTTTTTATTTTCGTGTTTCGTACCTATGTGCCACTGCAATGTTGAAGTTTCTAGAAGTTAGGAAAGAATCTCGCATTGATTTCGTTGAAAAAAATTTCTGTGTCTGATTTTAGAGCACGACGTGTGAATTCTTTCTAAGTTTATTGCTAGTGCTGATAGCACTAGCAATAAACTAAAATATTACGCTTATAACTACAGTACAAAATAAAAATACAAATCTGCTATTAATTAAATTAAGCAAAAGTATAGGTCTAATGTGGCGATAGTCAATAACTAAAACTGTTTTTTTGTTTTCCCTAATGCATTGCAATGGAATGAAATGAATCATTAGAATTTATAAAACTTAATCTATAGAAGCTGTGTGAATACACACAGCTTATATAATTTTTTTAATTTGGATAAGAAAAATTTCAGTTACGATATGTGTGCAAGCTATTCAGAGACATTCTGTTAAAAAATGTACAGCACAACAATATACACTAAAACCTGTGTAAACCAGAATCGTACGGTACCGAATATTTTTTCGGTTTTGCAGGGTTCGCAAAAGACTATAATTTACAGTAGTTAATCTTTGAAGGTTTTTGGTACTATTTAAAGTTCAAGCCTTTATTTTAGAGAATTTAATATCACCAAGGTTTTTAAATAAATTTTCTTTTCATGCCGATAACTCAATGTACAGTACTGTACATGTATTAATGTCCATTGTCTTATTATTGATTATATTTCATAAAATTTATTTGCATGAAAACATCCCTATTATTATAATCGCTTTTCGTTTTCTCGTTATAAAATAATAATGGATATAATGATCTACATTCGATTTTTCTTATCAACCTAGATCAATTCAGCTAAATTAGATAACAGTCAATAGTATCGTGATGTTTTTATATTTTAAGTACTAATCAAATATTTATAACTCACCTTCTATAATGTGCAACTTTTCTTCTTCGGTAGTTCTTTCTTCAGCTAAAATAACTTCCTCTAATCAAAATAAAATATAAGCAGTATGTAAAAAATATGTATAATTAGTCATTTATATCAAAGTAATATTGCTTATTCAAGAAATTAAAATGATTTGAATAAAAATTATTAATTTTTTATACTTATTAAGATTATATATGATTAATAACTAATTTAATAACAATTAAATTAATTTTCTGCGTTTCATTAAAACATTCAGGAAAAGAAAATGCTAAATGTCAATCAATGATTTATCTTGAAAATTTTCAAAATACTGAATAAAAATTAGTTTAAATAAAATATATCATATAATATATAATAATTTTATGTTTTGTTGTCTATTTTAAAACGTATATAAAATACTACACTGTATATATATTTATATTCCAGAAAAAGGTAATACTTTTACATATTTAAAAATATACTGCATATTTTTATACAGATCTAATATAATTATAAATATATTATCGAAGCCCATCAAAAGGGGAGAGCTGAAGAGTTTTCCTGGGCGCGGATAAACTTAGGTTTTTGTAGTGGTTCTTATCTCTATAAATTATTTTTACTAACGCAAAATAAAATCTTTAAAACTGCTTTTTATTAATAAAGAAACACTTTATATATTTCATTCATTAAAAAGAAGGGAAAAAAAAAGACAAAAGGGAGCCCTCTCTAACCCCGGAACCTTGCAAGCTCTAGCAGTCCTGTATATTGTATACGTATAAAATTATACAGTATAATTTAGAAAGTGTAAAAGTATTATTTAAAAATATTGAGTTATGATTTAAAAAACTTGTATAAAACTTAACGTTAATTATCAGTATTCATTTAAGAACATTACATTGAAATGTTTGTTTTCTATCATTACGTTTATGCTATAATATGATGTTTTATTATTAAAGGATGGCTCTAAAGTCAGTTAGCCGTGTTTTATTTTGTGCGTGTGTTCTAAGTATAGGCTTGCTTATGAATGTGAATCGTAAACTGTTTAGAGCATTGTGTTTTTCTTTCACAGAATTGATAGGAACGTGATTTTTAAAAATATTGATATAATTGGATTAATTTAGTTAATCGATTCTATTTTTAAGCTGTACGGTGGTTAACTGACATTTTGGGCATCGTACATTCGTACGGAAAATACAGCCATTATATTTTATTTTTCTGTTTAAACGCTGTGAATTTTTCCGTTTGTGAAAATTCCTAATTTTCTAACAATTTGAGTATTATTTGTATCGTATAATAGCTATTTAAGCCAAGCCTCAAGACACAGCAATACACTGATAGCTATCAATAGATAATCTCCCCGCAGGATAATTTGTATCTTGTCTAAGTTATCCATTCTAGCAAAAATTCGTAATGTGGTCAATAATCTCATATAATTGTGGTTAATAAATTAAATTAAATAGCATCTTAAAGAGATGCTAATATTATCGTCGGAAGTTTTGAAAATAAATGTAGATTTAACAATAACTTATGGTTGCTTTTATTCTTTAAAATGTGAATAAAATTTATGCTTTTTTAAAACAACGAAATACTGATATTAACTTTCGCTTTATATGCAACACGAAGGCCTCAGTCAATATCACATTTGTCTTATTTATCAAAATCAATATCTTTAGTCTACTTATAATTTTATTGCTTAAACTAGTTATAATTTTCATTTTAGTATAGAAATATAATATTAAGAAGTAATTTTGTTCTTTTGAACTGTGTCAGAACGTATATCTATCGTTGTCTTGCGCAGATAACAGTGGGTTACTATGACGTGACGATCGTATAATTGTCATTGGACGTTGTTTTCAAGGAGCCGCCTAAAAACATTCCTAATTAAGTGTCAGATTTGAATTACGAAATAATGAAAACTGGAATAAACACTATGTTGAAAAACTAAAATTGCAAGCTCCAACGATCCAAGTGTTAAAGCTTGCATTATATATTTATATGAATTTATATTAGGACTATTGCACGATCAAACGTTTGCGAAGTGGCTTTGTTGATGAGTTTCTCGTCCCATGAGGAAACTTCTACAGACTAGTATATAGCAACGTTACCAGACGTTCTTACCATCCAAATTCAATTCAAAGACGTTTTGACGTTAATAATAAAACAAAAAAAAGAAACATATTTGCACTAATTCGTAAGAGGTGCAAAAAATAAGACTCGCGGGTGCGAGATCCACAGCGGCGATCTTGTATTAATCTATTAACCCGTTTGATTCTAATACAAATCGCTTGCACATTATTTTGTAAATATCAATGATAGTTTCCTTTCGGAGAGCGCTTTAAAATTTTTCGTTATTGTAGAACAAAATTGATTTTGTAAAACTTTTGTCACATACTTAAAATCAAAAATAGTTTAGCCATGGTTTCATTCACAACAATGATCTTGATTTAATAAATTCGTAATCATTCATTAATTGTTCTTTTCAATTTCAAATAAACTTATTATTGGGCTGTAATTTTCAAATTGCAAGTCTAGAAATTCCCATTTGCGTCCGTCTGTCCTTTCTTAATTTTGAGAACGGAATTATATGATAGTCGAGATGAGATATGGAAAGTGAGTGACTATATATTGAATCTGAAGTCACCTTATTTCAATTCAAAAATTTTTCCTTGAAAGGAGTTAGATGGATGACCGCATGACTATATTGTTAACAGGGAAAGTATGATGTACAGGGGAAAGACACCTTGTGCATTATACTTTTCATGTATCCTGTACTATCCTGTACTAAAATTAAAAATATGATTAAAAATTACAGCTCGGAATTGTGACGATTAATCTAAAAGAAGCCAGCATATGTTTAACTCTTTCGAGAGATGACCGCTTCCTGATTTTCCTTTTGGATTTTATTTAAAAACATTGAGTATTCATAAAATAATAGCCAACATTTAACATTTTAACATATTATTGGTCAATCAGCTATCACGTGACATGACGTAGCGCAGGCTATCGCGTGACTGTCACGAAAAAATAGAAGTAGCATGATCTCAGATAATTATCACGTAACTTCCGTGGCTTATTAATTTAATGACTGAAAAATATTTGAAATCACATTAAAAAACTGGTGGAACCAGGTTGAAAAGTAAAGCTCAGTGAAAACAAACAAAGGAAACTTGAAAGTTATGGCATAAGAATACTAGAACAAAACTTGACAGCAAGACTCAACATGTGAATAAAGTCAGTGGCGTTGTAGCTTCATGGAGCCCAGGCAAATTTGAATTAAAAGGCCCCTGTGCAGTGTTAACTTCAAACATTATTCTTCTGGGGAAATTTTTTCGGGAAATATTTTCTTATGAAAGATTAGTTTGAGGCCTCCTGTTGGTGGGGGCCCCAGGCACTCTTCATGTTTTCAATTCTGTTTTATGGGAAAATTTTTATTCTATTGAAAACATGAAATTTGAATTATTACACAGTTGTAATAATTACGGTATATCCGAAATTAATTCAACGCTTACTATTAATGTAATTGTATCTCTGCGCAGCATGATACAAGAATCAAATTATTTATATAGTGATAAAATAATTTATTTAATAGTACAGTTATTTTGTTATTAAGACTTCAAAATTTCAAATGTCGATGAATTTTATGCTCGAAATTTTGTTACAGCATTATGGTTAATATACCAGATGTAAGTAACACAGTACAGGTAACCCCCGTATAACACGGCACTTCTATAGCACGGATTCGCTCTAACACGGTTTGAGAATTGGTACCATCCCCCGTATAACACGGTACTTTTATAGCACGGATTCACTCTGACACGGTTCGAGAATTGGGTAAAACCCTCGTACAACAGGAAATGTAATAAATTTTTACATACTTAACTAATAATAGTTCACGAAAATTATTATTTTCGTGAACTATTAGTACTTAAGTATGTAAATTTTCTCTTCTCGCCTTCTGTCGATACACGTGGTCCTTCTCGAAACTTGTTTCAATGTTGCCAGATCGCGACGCTTCTGCTTCTGATGTTGCCGAATGTTTTTCCCTTATTCCATACTTGCTTTATTCTTCATAAGTGCTTAGCACCATATAAGGAAATTTATAAAGACCTTTTAACTAGAAGCAAGCAATCTAAAATTACATACATTTTGCAAAAGGTAAAGCATGGATCTGAAGATAATGCAGAAAAATGCTCAGAGGATAAGGATAACTTGCCAAAAAGAAAACGCTCTCGGTTAATTAATAGTGTTTTTAGTGATGACGAAGAAAACATTGTTTAATTTATATTAATATGTATCACTTAAAAAAATTTTAATGAAGATATTTATCTTAATTATGAAAATATACTAGCATGTTTTTTAATTTTTGGAACCTAACCCTCCTTTTCGTATTAGTTCTTTGTTTCGTATAACACGGATTCGCATAACACGGCAATTTTTTGGAACGTAACTACCGTGTTATACGGGGGTTACCTGTATATAGTTTCTTAATGATATTATATTATGCTATAATGAATACCTTAATAATAGATAAATATTAATATACTATCGAAAAATAAAATTTATTACTACGAAACCAACAAAGAAAATCGAAAGTACGTTTACAGGAATGAGAAATAAGACTGAATAATGATACTTTACAACTTGCACACATAATTTCATTATTACATTCGAAAAATATCTTATGATATTTTTCAAGTGTAATAATGAAATTATGTGGGGAATTTGAAGTGCAAGTTGTAAAGTATTTCTGGAGAAGAAAACAACGTTATGGTACAATATATTGTACAGAATTCTGAAGATTATTAAAGATGTCAATTTTTTCTTGTGATATTATTGACTAAATCCTTATATATTGCAATATTAAACTTTATTTTTCCAATTCGTAAAGAGGACAGAACCGATAATTATAGTCACAAAAATAATGCAAAAACGTTTTTTTATTAAATGTATGCCTATTATCAATTGCAGAACTAAATTAAAATATTGAAAATCAAAAATACAATATTAATTTTATTTGCTTTTAATAGATAATACGAAGTGTTTTACAACTTGAGTATTATTTGATACTTGAAATAAAG